GGTCCTGTAGGGCTGTATGTCAAAGGCGGCCCATAATGCTTGTCAGGGAAGGGCAGAAATTCCCACTGATATAAGAATGTGCAAGAAATCAACTTTCACAACCAACTAGCAGATTAAGACACGATCAGGAAATGAGACTGTATGCTTAGAACAGTGACACCTGTTTTGGCAGAGAGATTTTCCCATAACTTGATAACCACACAGGTCTGTACAACTGGGGGCAAGGGGATGGCAATTCCCTCCCCCGCTTTGCCATAGAGAATTTCCTCTTTTAACGTAGCCTCATTGAGGCAATTGTAAAACAAAAACAAGTGCCATTAATTCCATGTCCTGAAAATACCACAAACATGATCATTAAAACTCTCAGGCATTGATAGGGGATGGTTCTGTTAATAAGGGGCCAAACCTTAAAGGCTGTACTTAGGACCAGATCCTGTTACCTTTATTTGTGTTGTGTAGTATCTTGCTCTGTGGGTAGTCCCAATGGGTCAGACTGGAAGTCTTCACTCATATTGGTGGGAGTTACTCCCAGGGGTAGCCCCACTGAAGTCAATGGGGCAGAATCTGATACCCATTCTTTGGTTTAATAAAGTTCGGTGGTGTTACTCAGGCAGGAAGGCATTACTCAGCATGAGTAACGGTGCCAGACTATGGCAGCACAAGGCATTAAGGCTTATTTGCTGAAACAAGTGACAATATCTGCTGCCTGCTCCGCAAAAAACCAATGCTCAGTTTTTAAGAATAACACTGTGCTTATTACTAAAGGCAGGATATATGGATGATGTAAGAGTACAGCTACACAGCAGTTGGAAGATAAAATTCCTAGCTCAGGTAGACACATGTGGACCAGCTCTCCTTAAGCCAGCAGCTAAAAACAAGTGAGGCTGCAACAGTGGCTTGAGCATGTACCCAAAGGGCCAGGCAAAACTGAACTTGAGTGGCTAGCCTGAGCTGCTGCCTGTGCTGCCAAGACCACACTCCTGTTGTTAGCTGCTAGTTTGAGCTGTACCCTAAGCCACTGGTTATAGTGAGTTATGTATCCCCGGAGGCGCTCAAACCACAGAGGATGTGGCCTGGTTACAAAGTCTGATGCTGAAGCCACAGACACTTATGCTTTTAGCAAGGGAGGTCCCTTGGCATTGGCCAAGATGGCAGCCATCACAAATGCACATGCCAAGATGACTAAGGGAGGATATGATAGAGGTTTATAAAATCCTGATTGGCTTGGAGGATATAAATAAGAAAGTATTATTTACTCTTTTTCATAACAGAAGAACTAGGATTCATCAAATGAAATGAATAGGCAGCTGATTTAAAACAAACAAAAGGAGGCATTTCTTCACACAACTCAGTGAATCTGAGGAACTCCTTGCCACAGGATTTTAGAAAGGCCTAGATACTAACAGAATTTTTTAAAAAGAACCAGATAAGTTCATGGAGGGTTAGGTCTGTGATGGATGGGAGGAGTACTACCCTTTTCTAGACATCCCAGCATTCAGTGACTAAAGGGTTAAACCCAGAACAGTGGGGATTGAGGAAGTGTTGGCAGGGAGCCAGGAGACCCAATGGGAAGAAAGTGTGAGATCTGAATTGAAAGAAGTGATGTGCCTGCTGCAGTTCTTTGAGGGGTTGAGAGAAAAAGCTGGGGAGAGATGAAGTGAACCTTGGGAGCTGGACATAGACTGTCCAGCAAAATTCATGTCTACAAAGGATGGAACCTGGGAACAAGAAAAGTGAGTAGATGGGGAATGTGGTGTTAGATGTGATCATGTTGTTATTATTATTTTTTTTTATTTCTGGTTTGTAAACTCCGTGCTGAGTCCATGTGCCAACCCCCCTTGCCCGGAACACTGTAACTGAAACTGAGTTTATCTTCGTCTTGTTAATAAAAGCATCTTTTTAAGACTATAACCTGATTCTTGTGTCCTACAAGGCAGGAGGGTCTATGTGCATGTACCTGAGACTGAGAGGTCAGCTATTAGAAATTTCAAGCTGTCTCCTGAGGGAGGGTAAAAGCTCTCCTTGGCGCTTTCCTGAAGGAGGGTAAAAAGAGCACGGAAAGAAGTTTCCAAGTGAAATTCCTGGATTTAAATAGAAAGGGATTTTGCACGTGGGTGGTGGTAGCATCCCACCCAGGGACAGGGACCCTGGGGAGTTTTTAAGCAGAAGCCTATACCGGGAAGGAAAGTCTCTTGCAGGCCCCCCACCTTTTCCACTTCAAGTTCTAGAGTGGGGAACAGCCTTGACAAAGTCCATCTATGACTATTATTTCAGAAGGGCAGGGATGGTGTCCCTAGACCAGGCCCACTGCTAGGAAGAGTTCAAGGGATGGGGGGAACTGCCCCAGGGCCTGGCGATTCAACAGGGTCCAGGGTTCTTGGTTGCTCTCACCACTACTGTGGTAGCCGGAGTCCTGGGCCCTTCTAATTACCACTGGAATGCAGCGCAGCACATTCTGGGCAGCACTGAGGTTGCCAGGGAATGGGGACAGTGTGGTGCAGCATGCTCTGGGCAGCTCTGAGGCTGTCTGGGGGAGGCTAGTCTCAGCCCCAACCCTTCTGCCTGAGGCCCCATTCCAGGGGCATGGAGCCAGATCCCTCCCTCCCCTACCTTGCCCAGGGGCCCAGCAAGGCTGTCAGCCCCTCTGCCAGTGGGTGGCCTCTCTTTGCCCATGGGTGACTGGGATGGATCATGTGATGATTAACTGTTCTAGTCATTCCCTCTGAAGCACCTGGCTTTGGCACTATCAGGAAACAGGGGACTGGGCTTGATGGACAATTTGTGTGACCCAGTATGGCCGTGCTGCCGTTTTTATGAGTTCATCTTCTTAACATGTTTCAGCAAAAACAAAGCAAAACAAAAAGTCTCATCCCTGGTTGGGTTCCTTGCACAGGAAAGTCGCAAGTTTTGGGAGGCCTCACACAGGTTGCACACCCCTTAAACAGAACCAAGCTCCTATAAGGGGATTTGAATGCTGTGAAATGGGGGAGGCCCAAAACCAGAAGATGTCCTGCTACATGAAATCTCTGGTCTTGTCTTCCCTCTCCAAATCCAGTTCTTCTGGAGGCCAGAAGAGAGGACTAGGAGGACCGTGGCAATTAGTTGAGCCATTAGATTGAAGCAATGGTTGTTTTGTGGCTCTCCTGAAGACCCAGAGGGGAAAGCATTCCTCTCACCAGCTTCCCTCAGAGCAGTTTCCTGCCCCCCGCTGAATTATCTGGCTGGATTCTGGGATGAAAATTTGAATCAGAATGCTGTACTTGATCAACCCAGAGTGACATAGGAAATGTGAGAAACACGAGAAAACCATTGGCTTGCATAATTGTTACTCCTGAGAGGCATTTTGCAGGAATAACCAAATGACTATTTCCTTCCCTGAAACATCAGTCTTTGTAAGTTGTTGACATCATGTTGCGTAGCACATTTTCCTCCTGGCATTTCTCTGCTTGAGGTAATCAGCACAGCTTCAGAGAAAAGAAGGAATATGTATGTTTAATGCAATTATGAGAGGATTTTAATCCACAAATCTTGCCTGTAATATGTAAATTCTGCCACATCGCACAACGGAAAGCAAACTCTGGTTCACAGATAGGGCCATTATTTTAATGTTCTTGAAATTTCTAGGACATAATAAAGTCTTCTGCTAAACTATCTGCATTAGTAAAGCTGTTTAACTGAATGAATTCAGCCTTATAGAATGGAATCTCGGGCTTTCAGCATTTGTTTCTGATGTATCAGATATTCAGCCACTCTATACAGAATGCCACCCAAACTCATTAGTTCCCTCCCCCCGTTGGGGGGCTATGAAATATTGCTCGGACAATGCTGAAGCAGCTACTCATCTCATGATGATAATTCTCACTCTGTTTCTGAATTGTCTCATGTCTGTCTGAAAGGAAATTGTCTCGCGCTGGACAAAGCCCATGCAAAGCATCATGGCCTTAAATCTTTCATGGTCTTGTGCCATGTTAGTGCCTGGTAGTGGAGACTCAGATTCTTTTCCTGTGTTGCTGTAAATGTCACATGACACCCATAGATGGGTTTCCTGAGAGCAGGAGGGAGGAAGAGCTCACATGGGAGCCAACTCTTCTTGCCATGCCCCACCCAGAGTCTTAGCTTTCTGTTCTTTGCCAAGTAAACTGAAGGGGCCTGTGGACTCACATTCTCCAAGCATGAGCATGACACGGCCGGTTGTTCTTGCATTGTTGAAAGTTCTGTTTCTGGCAATCAGCAGAAAGTAGAGTTGGGACAGCCCACCCAGAGCTGAATAGTCCTACAGCTGAAGGGATATTGTTGCATCTTGCCTCAACTCTTAGCTCTCATTGGAGTCAATGGAAGTCTGAGTTCTACTGCAAAGTCAAAAACTATTGGTAGGATCTAGGACAACGACAGGCTGAGCAGCTCCACATTTGCCCTCCACTGAGCCCCAGCATCCAAGCCCCTTCTGCATGGAGTCCCCTTGCAGGAATTCCACTGCCTGCTGTGTACACATGGACTAAGTTATTTCGGAATAGTGCTAGGTATTTCAAAATAGTGTTGCAGTGTAGACATACTGCCAGTAAAATTACTTGTATTCAAGTGAGTTCAGTGGCAATCAATCAGAACTATGCAGTACAAACATTCAAATTAACATCAAATTGACTGAGCTCCTGTTAAAAAGAAATACTGAGTGGTTAGATTCTATTTACCTTCTTTTCTTTCAGGCTTTAGGGCTCAAAAGGGGTAGGCGGTGACACACACTCACCAACCCCTCTCCCCACTATTTGGGGAAAGATGACACACACATACTCACATGGAGAGTGGAGGGAATTGCGAGACTGAACCAATCCTCCCTGCCTAGCACTCTCCACCCTTCATGTGTGGCTGGGCTCTGGGACAGACCCACCTTACTTGGCACCTGGCACCATGTCTTCCTGTGGTAACTTGGGTAGAGGGGTACACAGGGTCACATACCACCCTCCTCAGATTTCTGCCAGGGTTCATACCAGAATCTGGCCAGCAGCAATCTTTCAATACTGTGCAAGAAGGAAGAGATTAAATTAATTGTGATTTGTGTGATTAACTGGTGAAACAAGAGTAGAATACCATTTACTTAAACATATTTGAATATTTTCTGCATTTTCAAATATATTGATTTCTATTACAACACAGAATATAAAATGTATGGTACTCACTTTATTTTTATCACATATATTTTCACTATAAAATGATAAAATGGTATTTTGCAATTTACCTCATACAAATACTATAGTGTAATCTCTTTACTGTGAAAATGTAACTTAGAAATGTAGGGTTTTTTTTTACATAACTGTACTAAAAAATAGAATAATGTAAAACTTTCGAGCCTACATGTCTACTCAGTGCTACTTCTTGTTCAGTCAATTGCTAAGACAAATAAGTTTACAGGAGGTAATGGGCAGCTGATTTAAAACAAACAAGAAGTATTTCTTCTCACAATACAGTCAACCTGTGGAATTCTTTGCCAGAGGATGTTGTAAAGCTCAAGACTATAGCAAGACTATAACAGGATTCAAAAAAGACTTAGATAAGTTCATGGAGGATTGATCCATCAATGGCTATTAGCCAGGATAGGCAAAGATGCAAAACCCATGTTCTGAAGTGTTCCTAGCTTCTGTTTGACAGAAACTGGGAATGGGCAAAAGGGAATGGACCGCTTGATGATTACCTGTTCTGTTCATCCCCTCTGAAACACCAGACACTGGACACTGTCAGCAGACAGGTTACTGCGCTATATGGATCATTGGTCTGACCCATGATGGCCATTCTTATGTTCTAAAACCAAACCAAATGTATCAATATAACTTTCCTTTGGAAACACTGACAAGTGGAAGTCATTGTTTTCTGAAGAAATATTTTAGTCTAAATCAAACTTCTCTATAATTAGGATATGAAATTTAAACAATGTAATACATCTAAACTATTCAGAACTTTTATTTTACACTACCCAGTTTCATGCAAACCAAAATTAGTTGCGAGTAAGCTCTGCAAAAATTACTTCAGAGAGACTGAGAGAATTGACACTTTGATTTTGTAGTGAATTTAGTTTAGACCCTTTGACTCAGAATATAAAATGTTTAAAAATGTCTTCATATATATTTATCTACTTTAAAAATGGAAAATGAAATAAATTTTTAAAAATAAAAATGTCAAGGTAGATCTTTTTGCTGGACAGACCGTTGAAATTACTGTATTTTATTTTACCAATTTTTTAAAAAAATCTAGCCTATTTATTTTAGTTTCAATCCTGCATGGATTTAAAAACATGCTTAATATGTGACTAGTCCAATTAAAATTTCTGGAGTACTGAGGCCTGAAGAGTTTTCTCAAGATCTGCCTAGCCTCAGAAAAGAAGTTATGCTTAAAAACATGTTTACAAGCACAATTTAACTTAAAAAAAAAAAAGCTTTAAAATACTAGCACCGTGTAGTGCAGCTCCCTCATCTGTTTGTCACTCTTCACATTGGGTAGACCCTTCTAAGCTAGGGTTATCAGTAAATATCTATGTAACCGTGCTTTAATGGTGTTTAAAAGCCTCCCAGCGAAGATGCTTATAACTGAATTTGTTTTGTAGTCCACGGAGAACCTAAAGCACGTGTCACTGTGATGTCTAAGCACCCACACAACAATAAAATTAACTCTGGATGCGCCCCAAATTACAGCTCCTGCAAGAGAATGAAAACAACGGGTTAAGAATCAGTTCAATTCCTGGTCCCTCCTCCTCCTCCTTTTTTTTTAAATAAACACAGCATCATTAGCCCCCTCCTCTTCCAAGAACTAATGAACTCCCTTGGGGAGGGGAAAGACAGGCGCACAGGAGCTGGTGAAGCGATGGGTAGTGTGCCTTGCTGTCCCCTCCCAGGCAGCAGCAGGACCAAGGGTTTGCAGAGCACCCTGGCAGGACCATGACACACACAGGCAGGTGGCGGCACAGCGGACAACCTTCCGCAAAGGGCAAAAAGTAGCTTCCCGGTCCCGGAGCGGAGCGCCCCGGCAGCTGCCGCAGCGCGGGCTAAAGGAAAAGGCGGCGATGGCCGTGCAAGCTGCGCTCCTCAACCCCCATCACTTCATCCCCTTCTGCTTCCCGTCCGCCGGGGGCTTGGCGGACTATGTTGACCTTGAGAAGAGCTACGAGGACGGGGGAGCCGCTCTCCTGGGAGGAGGCGGCAGCGGCGGCGTGGGCGGAGGAGAAGTCCCGGGGGATTTTAAAGAAGCCACCAGGGACCTGCTGAGCTTCATAGACTCGGCTTCCAGCAACATCAAGCTGGCCCTGGACAAGCCGGTCAAGTCCAAGCGGAAAG